CTCAGGTACACACAGGAAGTCACCTGCTCAGGTACACACAGGAAGTCACCTGCTCAGGTACACACAGGAAGTCACCTGCTCAGGTACACACAGGAAGTCACCTGCTCAGGTGGACACAGGGATTCTCTTCAGGTTCAGACATGTAAATAAAGAAAAGGAATTGTTTTCACCTTTGATGTTTCTTCGGCTGCATTCATCAGAACCGTCCCCTGAAGCTAACGCTGGTTTCTCTGATCAGCTGTTCTTGTGTTTGGGGGCGGGGCCAGCCAGTCGGACCTGTGTGACAGCTGGTGGCCTCGCCCGTTCATCGTCAGCTGGCCCGGTTCCTGATCTCTTTGGACCTTTGATCCTTTGAACTAAAGTTTGTGTTTGGTGTTTTCTGATTTTCACCATGTGAAATGTATTTTATTTTGGCTGCAGTGGGTTAAAATGGCCGACTAAAGGTTCTACTTTTGTACCTGGTTTTTTTTTGTCCTTACAGTCAACAGGTTAAACATGTGGATTTAAAAAGAATGCTTTTGTCGACACGTCTGATAAAAGAACCTGAAAAGAATCCTGGCTGAATGAATTTAATTGATCAATTAAAACAGGAAACAGGAAGTTCGTTACTCGAAGTTATTTAAGTCTGGGTTTGTTCAGTGACGTTGATGGTTTGACCTCGCCGGGCCTTTGGAACCAGAGGAGAACCAATAAAAAAAAGCCTTGTTTAAAAGAGGAGCAGAGGAAGTCGGTGTTAATCATCGTTAGTCAGAGATGTCCTGCAGATGTGAGTCAAAAATATCCCAACTTCATAAACTGCTGCTGCTTCCTGCACCTGAACGTGTCATATGGGATAAATCTTGTGCCAATAGGAACTGAATCTGAATGTACATCATGAAACTGAATTCATTGGTTTGAAAATGTTACTAAATTGAATCTGAATTTAAAGTTTTGTATCTGAATTAATTTGCTTTGAAAGTGTATTTTGTTTTATTAAAAGTTCAGTTTGACTACTTTCAGACGGAGCCCGCGAGAGGGGACATGTGGGGATTTTTTTCTTTTGCGTTACCTCCCAATACTTTTGCGTTACCTCGCAATACTTTTGCGTTCCCTCGCAATACTTTTGCGTTACCTCGCAATACTTTTGTGTTACCTCACAATAGATTTGCATTACCTCGCAATAGATTTGTGTTACCTCGCAATACATTTGCTTTACCTCGCAATACAAATTGTTTTGTATATGAACTGAATTAAATCAGACTTTTATTTTGAAATATCCAGTTACCAAAACAGGATGTCTCCCCACAACTTTGTGAAATTGACATTGATGTTGCATAGCTGCGCTGTGTTAAAAAAAATCAGCATTTGACATACTTCCATGCGTGGCTGTGTGATATATTCATTCTGAAGCTGATTTAAAGCAGCAGGCTAACTCGCTAATGGTAAACGAGAATTTGTTAATAAACCAACAGCACAACAGTGTTTAATGACTTTTGCGTGGGAACGCAAAAAGAAAAAAAAATCTTCCATGTCTCCTAGTGGGCTCCGTACTTTCACTTTCAGTTCCAAAATTCAGATTTTTGTGTCACATCCTGGTCCTTGAGAAAGCCAGGCAGAGTAATCAAACACAGATCCACAGATTTATGTTTCACTTTGGTGAAGTTTCCCTTCTGGATGTAACAGAGTTGATGCAATCCACTGTAAAAGTGACAAAAACACACAAAGTTATTTTATTGCAGTGACTAAATTTACATAAATGTAGAAAATGTTACATTTACATGATGACATCATGGATCACATATTGATCAGATGCTGCTGCTGACTGATCCATGATGTGATGTAAATGTAACATTTTCTACATATAGGTCAAATTAATCACTGCAATAAAATAACTTTGTTTTTGTCACTTTTACAGTGGATTGCATCAACTCTGTTACATCCAGAAGGGAAACTTCACCAAAGTGAAACATAAATCTGTGGATCTGTGTTTGATTACTCTGCCTGGCTTTCTCAAGGACCAGGATGTGACACAAAAATCTGAATTATGGAACTGAAAGTGAAAGTAGTCAAACTGAATTTTTTTAAAACCAAAATACATTTTCAAAGCAAATTAATTCAGATACAAAAATTTAAATTCAGTTTCAATTTAGTGAAATTTATTTTCAAACCAATGAATTCAGTTTCAAATTATAAACATTCAGATTCACTTCCTGCTGGCACAAGATTTATCCCACAGTGTCTAATCTGCGGTGCAGTTATCTGCTCCCATCTAATCTGGGAGCAGCAGGAGCGACCGGTCCAGCAGGAGGAAGAGCGCTGAAGGCCGGCGGCAGCGGGCAGGAAGTGAGGGAAGGCTGAGGACAAAGAGCCGGGTKAGGAAATGCAGCGGGAGGATACGGACCCTCCCATCTGACTTCCACTTTACGARGAGGGCCCGATTTGGGCCTGAGGTCCCGAACTGACAGGACCAGATCTGAGGGACCAGATCAGGTCCACCTGGGCCTGATGGACGGTTTCACCTTGATCAATTTTTTTAAATGCAACCCAGCAGACAGGAAGTAAAGCTTCACCTAAAAAAACAATAAGATGTGTCTTATTCTGATGTAACATCTTGCTGAGTTCAGAGAAGACGCTGCGCTCTGATTGGATGTTTTACCACCAATCAGCATCCTCTGAAGTCCTGGTTAAAGTCAAGAAAAAATAAAAATAACTCAAGTTCAGCAACATTTTTCTCTAAAGCCCAACACGAAACCTGGACTTCCTTTGGTAACACTCGACGCTACAGGGCCAGTTCAATTTACAGTGGATCTATGAACTTTATTTTGAAACTTCAGGGTTCAAACCTCTTCCTGTTTGCCATTTCTGTTTTTCAGACCTGAAACCATAGATATAAATATAAAGGTTTGATAAGTCATAGTGGAGTCTCCAGCGTCCTCACATGGCAGCCATCTTAGGTTAGTCAGCAACACTAGCTGTAGCTGAGATAAATGCAATGAGTGAGTGATTTCCACTAACAGAAATTTGTGTAATTTCACCTTCACAACAAAAAAATCTTTTTGAAAATCTGATCAAAATCGACCAAGTTATGGTTATTTAAATAGTACATACACCACACACATTCATGTTAACAATGGGCCAGCTCCCTGTCCCAAGATGGCTGCTGTGTGAGGACGCCTTATCTAGCCTTTTTATATAACCTATGATCTAGTCTTTACATATCTATGATCTAGCCTTTGTATATCTATGATCTAATCTTTATATATATATATATACACTCACCGGCCACTTTATTAGGTACACCACTCTAGTAACGGGTTGTACCCCCTTTTGCCTTTAGAACTGCCTCAATTCTTCGTGGCATAGATTCAACAAGGTGCTGGAAGCATTCCTCAGAGATTTTGGTCCATATTGACATGATAGCATCACACAG